TTACAAAAAAAAACACTTTTTGTGATTTTGGATGTTTTGAGCACAAAAGTAAGTTTGCAACCAAAAAATTTATATTTGAGCACAAAAGTAAGTTTGCAACCAAAAAAAGGATTAAAAATTTTTTACCTCAAATTTGTGCTTTTGCTTATGAAAAAACGCATATCATACAATTTTCATACCCGGGTTAAAATAAAGTGTAAGAAAATCTAAATTGCCTCCAATTTTGACAAGCATTTTTCTTTTATGGATGTCAACCCGGGTTAAAATAAAGTGTAAGAAAATCTAAATTGCCTCCAATAGTTAGTTGGTCATTATTTAAATAGCCCTGTTAATTGTTCTGAAAATATATTAAAACCTCAGGTGCTAATACAGTAACGTTTCCAGAATTTACGACCGACTGATGTTTCTACACGTTGACCCGCATCAAGTTAACATCCCCCTTCCCAGCGCTTAATTTAAATTAAATTTGCTAATCGCGGCATGTAAAATGCTCGATTCTGATTGGCCAAAAAAAATTCCTACTTAGAACCAAGTTAACAACCCCCCCCCCCCCCCCCCGAAGCCTTTTGTGGGGGGGGGGGGGGGGGGGTTGTTAACTTGGTCCGGTGAGCCTTCAGACTTATTTTGGCCAATTTGCCATGATTATTGCGCCCTATATTTAGTTTTCTGTTGATGCGTAGGTGGCAAATGGATCTGATTTCAATTTGATTTGAATTAAATCTGAGGCATTATCGGCTAAGTAGCATAATAAAAGAGATTTTAGATGTGGCAGAAAAACCAGGTATACTTATTATAGTATTTGAGTGAAAATAATAGCAATAAAATTCAATTATTTATTGGATTGACGATTTCTGAAAATAGAAATAACTAAATTGCAATCAGATAAAATAATTAAGATATTTTTAGAAATAGTGTTGAAGCGGCATGCTTCAGTGATGATTTGTTTAATCGCTCGAACAAGCAGATAAAAAAAGATAAAAGCATAAAACGACATAAATTTCATGCAAAGATAATTCAGTCACTAACTAAAGTAGTCTGAAAAGTTTAAATAGATCTTCATAGTCAACCCCAGTTCATTTGGAAAGATTACAGTTTCTGGGACTATTCCTTCAAAATTTATGATCTGCCAAAACTTTTTAGTGTTTTTTTTTTGTGAAAAAAAAAATTAATTTATTGTATGCAGTAACTGTGCCACATGTGCAGTAAGCCACGCTTAGCTTACGTTCATTTTAGGTCAAATTATTTGGGCGAGGTCGGTGTTAGAAATTTGACGGCGAATAAATTCATCAGAAACTTATAAAACCAGAAAAAAATGATTACCTTAAATCGAAATTCTTCAAAGCATTTCTGCATTTATTTTTTAAAGAAATTTAGCCTTGATTATTGTAAGTCTACCGCCGACTGCCTGTCGGAAGGCTACTGCCGTCTGTCAACTGAAAAGAAGGAAATGGAAGTTGTCTCCCATTTAGGCAAACTGTATCCTTTCGAAACCATAAAAACAATTTTCTAAAAATATATATTTTTTTCTCTTAAACTTCTTGCTTTATTGAGCTTCAGACTATTTCTTACCGTCTCCTTTAGTTTGACTATTTTTAGTAGAGTTTCCTCGAGTCTGAGTACTTTGACAAACGGGTAGACTTTGATTCTCAAGCCAAAAAATTTGAAAAAGTGACTTAATTCACTTAATTTTTTAAACAAAAATTGTTAGCTTCGTAATTTATCAGCTGTTTTAAGCTGCGTGAACTACTTAGATGAATAGCTACAAACTTTTGAATTTTCTTTAAAAAAAACTGCTACTTTTCAAAGTCATTTCAAACTCTTTTACGTTGTGTCACGAATTCATTACAAAGTTGCCAAGAATCTTGGTATTGATTATAATCGGTTTGATTAGTTCGCTTTCCTGACTGATGGCATTAGAACTGTTTTGAGCATGCTGCTAAGAAAAAAATATATATTTTTTCCATTTGCCGTTGATTAAGTTATGTTTACGCTGATACAAAATTGGCACAGGCCGCCGTAAAATCTGATCGCAAAAAACAATTTCCAACCGGTTATTTATTCAGAATAAGTATTGGGTATAAGGGGGCGATGGGGGGGGGGGGGGTTTGGGGGGTCTGTCATCTCAAATGCTTATTAATACTCAAATCCCGATAGGCGGATATTGGATATGTATCTTTATTTGCAATCCAAATTGAACGGATTGGCAACCAGATATCTTCATTTCAAAATGATAAAGAGGTCTTTTTTGGCAATTTAAATCCAGAAAATGACCCAATGGTGCAAAAAACAATAACAACGGAATGATGAATTTTAGAGCAAATTGCAATTTGAACTGTCCTTGCATAATTTCAGAAGATAATCAACTTGTTCAGTTTTTTTAGTTATCGCTGCTGTTGTTGTGTTTCTATTTCATCAATTGAACGAACTAGTTTGTTCAAGCCTGGTCGATATGCAGGAAACTCAATGGTTGAAAACTATTTTTAATTTTTATTTTGATTGATCATATCAAACAGCAATTATTTCCTGGTTTATAAGAGTGGTTTAGCTTTTTTTAAAAAAAAAATTCGGTTTCAAGTTAAAATTTTGTCGCATCATTATTGTTATCGACTTAAGTTTCCCATTTGTTTTGAAGAAAATCGTTATTCTGAGTTGATTTAACTGATTTCAGTCTCAAAATAAATTTCAACGAGCTTACCATTGAAATAATACGGTATTTTAATTTTGTCTTTATTGTTGTTTTTCCGCTGTTATGTACTATTTTATAATGTAAAGGTTTTTCGAGCTAGTTTCGAAAAACTTCTCAGTTGAAACTTCTCAGTTTTATGCGCAATCTTTTGAGGAAGGAATAAATTGATTAGCACTTTTCTCAAAAAAAACGATAAATTCAATGATAATTGTAGTGGAAGTAACCTGTGCCACGTGCCACCTGTGCAGTAACGGGACACCCTTGTTTTAGATTCATTTTAAGTCAAAGGGTTCATAGAAATTTTTTCGCAAGGTTGATGTTAAAAATTTAACAGAGAATATATTTATCAGCAACAGATTAAATGCCGCACCAAATCAAAATGGTTCGAAATACAATTTTTTCTAAGTCATGAAGAACTGTGTTTGGGTTTTTAGTAAAAAAAAAATTTTCATCACCTGAAATTGCAATCCGTGCCTTCAATTTTTTTTTCATTGGGGCGATCTTACGACAGGGTTTGATCCTTCTTTTCAGGTCAGGCAGAGCAAACGAACAGCCAGTCGTTTTTTAGTTACAAACTTCCCTGGTTAACTCTGCTTAATCAGATGAAAACTGAGATGGTTAAAAACCAAACGCTGATAAATTACATTGCTGAAGATATTTCGAGCTAATTAGCCACTAATTTCCTACTGTTTAGTCGCTGAGCATTTTTTTCAGAAAGCGTTTTTTTGTGTACTACGTGACAGTCAACAATCAAAGGCTCAATAATTGTGTCATGCTTGTTTGCGTAAAAATTTTTTTTACGAGGTGTGAGGTGACTCAATTTTTTTAAGCAAATGCAATTAAAGCATAAAAACGGCACATAAATTTTTATTGATTTTCATTGAGTATACAGACAGCAAAATAGCCGTACTATTAGATCAAAAACAATGGTATGAATCTGTTTAGAACACTTTCCTCAGTTTTTTCCTTGACAATTAAAAAAACACAGGTTGTCTTCATAGCTCGTAATTATTAATCATCTTCCATTTCAGAAACAATTGGGTTATTGAAGCAATTTTTGTAAAAGGTAGTAAAAGTTTATTTACTTTTTTTTATATGGGTTATTTTTTAATCACGCTTTTTTTGGTTTCTCGAGTCTTCTATTCTTCCATGTTGAGCAAGTTTTAGTCCTAATTTTAAAAAAAATTTGAGCAAAACATAAAACTTTTGTTTCAAATTTGGTTCACTTGGTTTAAAAAAAAACAATATAAAACAGTTTTTATAATGTAAATTTTTTTCGAAACTTGAAACCATAATTCTCCCCTCAAACTGTTCATTTCATTTCAAAAATAAGGAGGGAAATTTGTTCAATTAGTGTAACATTAAAAATAATTGAACATTGCTTCCCAAAATTAAACTATTTGAATTGAAAAATTTTAGGGCTTTAATTTTAGTTTCATTTTTTGAAAAAAAATTATCCTTAAAATGAAAGTTAGTTTTCAAAAAACGTATTCTGATCTTTTTGACCAAGAATATTTGAATGATTTTGAATTTGAATTTTGAATTTTTTCCCGGAAAACAAACTCAAAAGGCAAAAACAAAATTAGCTTTGAATCTTCTGGCTAGGCTGGAAATTTTGATTGACAAAATAGTGAAAATCAATATTTAGTTTTTCGTTTGAATGCCACCTTGGAACTGAAACAAGGATAGTCGTGTTTTGTAGCTCCGTTCCGCTCAAGAAAAAACTACAAGAGATAAATTATGCGTTAATTAATGTTTGCCGGTGCTAGAGCGACAATTTATTACAGGCAACAATTCGTAACAAGCGACAATTCGTAACAAGGCGTTGGCAAGTAGAATACGCTTGTTCCGCTGCGCTTACATCCGGCGTGAGAGGAATACTGCGCGTGAATCAGTGTTCTCTGCTTAATCTACTGTTACAAACTGTCGTTTGTTATGAGTTGTCGCTTGTTACGAATGGTCGCTTGTTAGGAATTGTCGCTTGTTACGAATTGTTGCTTGTTGCGAATTGTCGCTTGTTACGAATTGTCGCCTCATGTTGACAAAAATACGAAGTTTTCTGTATATTAACATTTGAGTCACAATTACTTGCGGGAGGTTTAAAATCACCGCACTCTCCATGGCAAGCATGCTATTAGGTCAATCACCGAGCTATAAATCCTAGCAAAATTTATGAGTCTTTTCAACCAATGATTTGTGAGACAAAACTTTTATTTTGTGATAAACGCCAATGTTCGGCCCGTATTATAAAACGTAGAATTTGTTACAAGAAGCCAACTTCTAAATATTTTTTTTATTTTGACCAAACACGTTAGAGCTGACTTCATTATCGGTCAAAATTTAATGTAACACACTGGATCAATTGGCCGTCATGCGAGTTACATAGCGTTTTGACCTTGACTTTGACATATAGTCTAAACAAATATCATATTACTAGTAGCAATAACCAGGTTACTGCTAGCGCAGAACCGCAATTTTCATGATTCACGTTTTGCTCATTTGAACATTTTTTTTTATGCCAAGCGCTGAACTTCATTTCCTATTTGATGAAAAATAATTTAATTTTTGTGAAAATGTTGGTTGATAAACTGATAACTCCAATCAAATGACTGAATTTTATTTTTCTCTCTTCAATTTCTTTTTCTTTTTGTTTGTTATCTTGTCTTGCTAGGTGACGTAAATTTGTAGAGCTGGAAGAAAAAAGGTAAAACAACAGCCTATTTTTTCACAATTTTTCTTCGTCACGAATTTTGAACTATATTTCGTAGAGTTGAATTGTTGCAATTTTAAACTAATTTTCGTATGGTTGCATGATTTTACTTGGCCACTAATTTATCAGAAGAAAAAATGTCAAAAAAATCTTGTTTTATAGATCTAAATAAAAACTTATTGTGGGGATCCAATTCGTCTGAGCTAATTTCCCTCGACTACAATTCTGACAAAAACATGAGCGACTTGATTGGAATTGAAACGATATCTAACGACACAACAGAAGAATACATACAACTGCCCCGTACCGGTAAGTGCAACTCCCAGTCAGGAGGTATGTGGTTCGAGACCCACTACGAGCCATGCCACAGGATAAATATTACAGAACTGTTTTCAAAATAAACATCAAAAAAACGCATCAACAAAGATTCCACATAAAAAGAATATTGGCATGCTCTGAATATCTTTTTTTTTCGGAAAAGCACCGCCTTTCGAAAAATTTTGATGCAAAGAATATTAGGTTGAAAACATATAAACTCAAATAAAGTTCAGGAAAAACTCGATGCAGAATGTGTCGTAAAAAGCTAATGATTAGGCAGTTTTACCAAAAAAAAATCTGCCTTAAGGTGCTAAAATAGCTTCACCCAATAAAACAACTCAGTCTTAAGGTGCGGAAATAAGAGAAACGGATTATCCTTAGACGTGTTGGAGAGCTTTTGATACATCTTCTGCGAAACGAAGAAACTACAATTTTTCAGTGCTGATTTTTCAGTTCTGATTTTCCGTTCTGATATTTCAGATCCAACTTTTTCAATTTTTTTTTTGATTTTTTCAATTGTGTTTATTTTTTCGAAATCTGATTTTTTCAGTCGATGTGTTTCTGACAACACTGCAGCTAGTCATTGTCGCCATTGGAGTCGGCGCCAACTTGGCAGTGATTTACGCGACCATCACTCGATTCTCCTGCAAGAAGGCCTCCAATCTTTTCGTGTGTACACTCGCATGTATAGATGTGCTTGCACTCCTTTATGACTTGGGGGGAATCACGGTGTCCCTTTGTGGAGGGGGGAGTTCCTGTGAGTTCAGACCATGTATCGTGACTTCAATGGGAAATGCAGTGACTTTTATGAGTGCGTTCAACTTGGTACTCATTGCTTTTGACAGGTACGTTACAATTTAGTATTCTCTACAATTTATTTTTTTTAACTTGAACTTTGCACCGGTTTTGAGAATGCAATTGCAAAAGTTAAGCGGTTGAAGCCACCATTTTCAAGCGTTTATTCAAAATTTTTTTTAATGAGCCTTTTTTTCATTTTTTGATTTGCTTCAAATTCACTTTAGGCTAAAAAAAAAACAAAAACAAAATCGTACGCTTTTCCTAATTTTGCCGTTTTTCGCAAATACAAGAGCCTTTTTTAATCGAATCTATCTAATTAGGTTTAATTTGAAGGGTTTTAATTTTAAGAATACTTTTTCTTATTACAACTTCGCGCGACTAGCTCCATTGTCAGATCTCCGCTCGATCAAACAATTGGCTCACCGACAATTGCGCTTTTAAACGTATTAATGTCACTACGACGACTACAAAAGATAACTTGACCATTTTGCCATAATGATGCTAATTAACTCAAAAATAATTGGGCCACAAGTCAATTTGTCCCATTCCAACTTGTCGTACACCAACTTGCCCCACAAGGGGGGAGGGAATAGTCAACAAGATCCCGAGTTGCGGCTTTTCTTTTTGCCTTCCATATTGAACGTGGTTATTCAAACCGTCGATCAATAAAATCAGTTTTGAATCGTCAATCAATAGAAACCGAAAGCGCCTATATTAAAAAAAGTTCGATCCACCACAAATTGACGTTTTAAAGCGTCTAGTTTCAAAAAAAAATCGACAACGACGCAGAAATGGCAAGTAGATTTCTGCGTCAGCACCATTTGTACATTGATAACTAGAAAACTGCAACGTTAAGAAATTTGAGCGGAATAAGTAGAAAGACCCATCGTTGCTTCTCGGAAATGTTCCTGTAATTTTCGTTTAAATGTTCTTATTTATAATGAGAAGAACTATTGAAAACAGCAGGAAACAGCCAAAATTGAAGGCGGAAAACGCGCCGCCTAAATTTTTTGTTCCCGTTGATGACGATTTGAGGCACAATTTGTATAATGAAGTTGATTGCAGTTGTTCTGACATTTGAAATAGTTGATTTTTTAATGATACGGTGGCAACTACCCGCGCTGACCTCCATACATAAAAAAACTTATAAAAAATTCCATGCAAGAGAAATGGGTATCATAAAGTTTCTCATATGGAATGTATCGAAAAACTGTGTATCATACAATTTCCATAAAAGGAAATTGTATTATAAGAAATTTTTACCTTTGCAAAAAAATAGCAGAAAAATGAAAAATCCAAAGTTTTTTTTGAAAAATCATAACTCGAAAAATTCTTTCTTCTTGAAAATTCTAAATTCAGGAAATTTTTTTCCCCAACTTTTAGTCGCAATATCAATTTCAGGTTAATCTAAGCATTTATAAAAAAAACAAAGTTGCATGCAAGAAAATTCGTTATTTTTGTCTATAACACAGTCCAACCTGAATTTTTCATACAAAAGAAACAAAATTGACAAATTTAATATTGTAAAGCTTGACATTTTCAATATTTATTTTTTGTAACGTGTACTTCAATTTGTCAAAAAATTTTGTGCCAGCAATTTTTCGACCAGTAAAGTTTTTGACAAAATGTTTTCTAGAAAAAAAATGCTCCACGTTTTTATTCATAGCTCTATGTGAAGTATGAATTATTATCTCATACAGTACCACACAAAATTCAAAAAAATTAAATTTTTGGTTTATGGAAAAACGCTTGTCAAATTATTTTCATATAAAAAAATGCTTGACGTAGAATTTTCTTACAATTTTTTTGTCCAAATGAATTTGTACAAAAACATGATAAGCTTTTTTCCATAAATGGAATTGATATAACTTTGATATAACAAGTATTTTTGGTTAACCTGGGTAAATTGTGAACTGAAATTTGATATAGGCACCTGATTAACTTTTTTGTTTCCGAGCGAAAAATTTTGTTCTTGAGCAGCTTACGCTTTACTCAAAACTGAACACTTAAGACAGCTAATAATGTGAATCCCGGGTGGCTAGTCTCATGTACGAAGAAACAAATGCGCAAAAATTCTCAATCATTCAACTCCTTTTATTCTGTCCAAAATGACTGAATTTGCTTCTTTCGTTTTCTAAAAACTGAGTCCTGATTCGTTAACAAACTTGCGCGCATTCGGTCCTTCACGCACGAGGGATTCTCCGCCCTTGCGCTTTATATCACCACTCATTTTGGAGGTGCTACAAGCACTGCAAAGCAAGCAACCGGTGCTAGCCAACCGAGCGTGCGCGCACTTCTGTACTTGGGTTGCAAATCTTGCAAGATTCCTGGAGCAAGAATTGCAAGTCTTGCAAAATCTTGCAAGATTTATGCAAGATTTTCATTTTAATTTTGGAATGCAAATCTAGCACTAGGGCGTGCACACGTGGTCTTGGCTAGCAGCGATCGCTTTGCTTGACATGCCATCCCTTTATCACGGAGAATTTTCATTGGTGATCTGAATTTGCAAACATTCAAAAGTTTGCCAATAATTTTGTGTCAGGGTTAATTTGCGGTAAAAAAAAACGTTCGTTTGCGTACACAAATAACTTTTTTATGTTCCTATAGTGAAAATGTTTGTAAAATGATGACTTTACTTTTAGAAAACGTTGTTTTGCATGCATTTGCAAGTGTTTTTACATTTATTTCGCCCTAAGGAAAATATGAACCAACAATCTCACAGAAACTAGAAACAAGACTGCTCAGCTCAGGGTAAAACCCTGAATGTTCCGTTATAATTTTTATGAAGTAATTCAAAGTAAAATATTTGATGAAAATGTGTTTATGAATTTTTTGAAAATCATCCTCCAACATGTTATATAAAGCATAACGTTATACTTTTTATATAGCAAAGTATTACATAGACTAATGAGCATACCTCATTTATTGTAAGAACGATTACTATTACGGATCTTCACTCACGCGTTAGTTGCATGAAAAATATCGCGCGTTAATTGACCCTAATTGACAATTTTTAAACCGAGAAATAGGATCAAAGGTGAAATTTCTTTTTATTTTGAGCTCAGAACAACAGTACATTTAGAATGGTATGAAAAAATCCGTCAACAATTGCTAGTTCTTGCTTAAAGTTGAAATTTGTCTGGAGAAAAAACCACCCGAGCACAATCACTCGGTCATTTTCTTTGAAAATCGGAACAAAATGCACGAAAAATACCACAAGCTGCAAAAACAATTTCAGACCAATTTTGTATTACAATGCAAAATCTTGCCGTTTTTGCAAATGGAATGTAAATCTTGCAAGCATCTAGCGAATTATGCAATAGAAAAGAAAGAATGAAGTATTTTCTCGCAAGATTTGTTTCAAAATATCTTGCAAGATTTGCATTTCAAACATAGACAAATATTTAGCCGATGATGAACTGAATGGTTGAGTGAATTTCGAATGGTTTCCTGAAAATGGCCCTGAAAAAAAAACGAAGCAATATGTGCAAAACCGTTCCAAGTAAACAGGAAATTCGTACATATCGTTACAAAACATGACAGGGAATCCTTAGAATCAGTAGCGGATTTAGGGGATGGGAAAGGGGCGGACGCGCTTTTTCTTGGAACTTCGACGGCCGGCTGACCCAAAGAGTCCTCCTCCTCCTCCCCCCTCAACCTTGTACTATTTAGGGATATCCAATTTTGGCTGTCAAAATTTTGCAAAAAGTGCCTAAAAACATCTTTTTTTTTCGCCTGTTTTTTCAAAACTTTACATGCTGAGCAGAAAGTGCTTTGGGAGTTCTCGGAAAACCAAACTTGGTCGACCTAAAAACAAGGTCGACAAATTTTTCGATTTTTTTTGAGAATCCGCCCCCTAGAGAAAATCCTAGATCCGTGCCTGCTTAGAATGCTCAATATTCATGCTTAAGCTAGACCGATGTATAGGCAAGCTAGTTATAGGGGTGATTATTTGTTTGAAGGTACCATTAAGTTAGAGTTGGTTGACAACAATTCCAGAGTTTTCTTTTGTTCCAGATATATCTTCATAGAGCACCCATTCCAATACTCCAAAGTGATCGAGAAGAGAACTCGCCTGTGGCTGTTTTTCTTCCTCGTCTTTCCCGCCATTCTTCTAATCGCTCTGTTCTGCGTCACTTTCTGCCAGCCGATCATGCACCACCTGTTCTACATTGTGCCCGCCCTCATCATTCTGTTCATTTGTCTGGTGGCCATTGTGTTCATGTACTCTTCTATCTTCATAACTGCAAGGAGCCATCATCGCAAACTGGCGGTGCAGTTGTGCAATGGGGCAGCCGAAACGCAGAAGAATTTCATGGTGAGCAGGGGTGGTTTCAAGAAAAGAGTTTACTGGAACCGCGTGATTATTACTTTTTGAAAAATGCGAAAAGGTAAAACGAGCGTTCGGACTTTTTCAAGGTCAGTGGCCTTGCTATTCATCATTTTTTCTTGCTAGATTAAAAATAGCATTATTTGCGGCCTGTGTTTTCACTTTGCTTACATACGAGCCTAAGTGCTGCAAAAAATTGTAGTTCGATTGATCGAAAATGGTTTCAAGAAAACAATAAGTATTGAAAAAAGAACCCTAAAGGGAAACAAGAAATAGCAGAAAAGAAATATTTCTTAATGAAATTCTTGAAAAGATTCTTGATGATCTGAGATATTTTCTTTATAAAACTCCTGCCTTGACTTCAGATTAGGAAAATTGAAAAAAAAACACCAAAAAAAGTTATTTGAAAGCTTTTGTTTTCAGTCCCGTTTTGACGCCGCCCAACGACGCATCATCGTTGGCTACATATTAATTGTGGGCGTGTTCTTCCTGTCTGTGCTGATGATCTGGATCAGTGGCATCATCATGAGTCCCCACTCCAGTCTGGGAGGGGTGTGGTTTGCCAGAATGTCCTATCTGGTTGTCACCCTCAACTCAGCATGCAATCCGTTCATCTACTATTTCACCAACAGAGAGGTAGGCCATAGCTGTCACAAAAATAAACAATCTTTTCCTCTCCCCACCCTTCTCTTTCCTTTAAAATTTCATTTTTATACTAATCATGTAAGCCCATTTTGGCTAAATGCAAGAAACTTTTGCTGCTAAGTATGAATACTCAATTGTTTTATGAATAAATTTTTCATCATTTGCATTTGTTCACCATGAAAAATGACAATGTTGATTTGACTTTTAAACTCAAATTCAAAACTGCTGATAAAATGGAAAAAAATGCAAAATTATGTACGTTATAACAATCTAGTAATCATATGGTTTCCGGCCTCCTTTCAGATTTCCCAACACCCTCGTGGAAATAAAAAATAGTGTTTAAAAACTGATCATACGGCAATTTACCTGCAAGCAACGGATAGAAAAATAGTTCAATTGTTCAACCTCCCACGTTTTCGTTGGTTTTATTTGAGTTTAAACCAATTTAGGATAACTTTTATGCTTATCATACAATTTCCTATTTATGGTTATCAAAGAAAAATGCTTATCATACCATTTCCTTCTATGGTAATCGTTTGATAAAGGTTTTTTATATAGAGTCTGTATGAAAACTATATGATAGATATTTGTCTTCCATGGACGTCAACCCGTTTAATAAATATAATGCAGGATTTGTATCGCCAGCTTGTATCCCTTGAATGGTTTTGGTTAAATAAAACTGATAAATCATTTATCTTTTTTAATTAAAAACCAAAAAAATTCTCTGGCTCACTAAATTTTATATATATTTTTAAAAAAATGCTCATCATGTTGTTTTTATAGATTTTTTGTTCTATGGTGTATGGTAAGGGTTTTTCAACAAAAAAAATAGTTGATAAAGCTTTTGGTCAATCACGAAGGGTTTTGTCAATCCCTATGATAGGGTTTTTTCTCTGACTAAAGTTTGTGTGATAAAGCTTTTGGTCAATCTGGGCAAGCGTTAGTAAAATAATTTAAGAGTTAGGCTCTCAGTTTTAGGAAAAGTAGAAAAAAATTATAAAAATGCAGAATAGTTGGTTTACGCTAATAGACACTTATGCTTATAGTTTTGCCCCCAGACTTTCAGAACAGGAAGCGAATTTGAATAAAAAACTAATAGAAGTTATGTCAAAAAAGACTATAAGATTAACTTTCAAGGTAATTTTAAAAATGATGAAAGTGTAAGAACTGGAGTGAATTACATCGACATTGCATTAAATTGTAAGCCAGTAAATAAATCAATCTATCTCGTAGTTTTTGGTTTTAAGCCATTACATGTCGGGGGTGTGGTTGATCACTGCTCATGTGCTCAGCAGGTTTTATGCATGATTTTTTCTTTCAAATTAAATGTAGTTTCAATTTCACTCTTTAATTTTTTCAAAAGAAAAAGTCTCTTTTTTCACTTTGTTTTTCGATGTAACTAATTGTAGAATTAGTTTACCACCGCCTACTATACATTCAGGTCAAAGTAGCATTCAAAGAATGAGGGGGCGTAACAAAAAAGAACGCATTCCACTTTCGCCCTTCGTAATTACTTTTCTTTAATACCTATTTTTTTCGATAAATTTCAACAGTATTAAGCAGATTTTGAAAACATATTTATCCCCAAGGGAAAGGACAAACATAGGAACTTTGCAGCACTTTATGGAGTTTCGCTTAAAAACCACTTACAATTTTGATTATTTTCTCTTTGTACACACTGATCTCATATGGAACGTTAATCTAAATTAATCATTTTACTCCAATAAACCCTAAAAACACGTGGATTACATTTAATTAAAAACTAATACTTTCAAAATTAAATTAACAGTATTGTGTGTCTGCTATCACAATATGAATACGTCCGCTTTCACCCAGCTTGATATATATATATTAATCAAATTATGTGTTATAATTATAATATGTATTTCGTTAATCAAATTAATCAACAGAGACCTAGTACAATCTAGCTTAGGTGGGAAACTAATAAGGTAGTACACAGGGTGTACATTATTTTAAGGACAGCTCAAAATGTTTGGATTGTTTGGATTTCTCAAAATGTATCTTGTCATCTGAAAACTAATGAGATTTATTTTTTTAGTACCGAGATGGGTTCCTCAGCATGATTGGGTGCGATAAAACCACAGGTAAATCATTCAAATTACTCGGCATTTTTTTTTTCAAACTTTTATATAAATTGAAAGTTAGGGTTGAATTAGATCAAAATACCGTAAATGTTGTAAAATTAGGAAATAGTTAGGAAATTAGGACAACTATTTTGTCCTGCAAATGAAAATTATCCTGCCGGTTCTCACTAAAAGTTGGTTGTCCAGAACAGTTTTTCTCGGCACTACCAATAAAGCTTTCAAAAATTGACTTGCGCCAACTTTTGTATACTTTTTTTTTATAATTTTGTTGTGATTAACCTCCAAATCGGCGGGATTTCATGATTTTCAATAAACCGTTATTTATTTTTTCAAACATAGAGGTCAAAAAATGCAATATAATGAGTACCAATGACTTCCGTAAATGCTAAGTTTAAAACATGATTAAGGCTTAAAATATGATTAAAATATCTGGTGAAATTGCAAAAAAAATAAAGTTATCATTGATGAAAACTTTATCATTGGTTTTATTTTGCAATTGCAACAAATGCAGGAAGCAGTGAAGTTTCATCGGCGTTTTACTTAATGAGATTACAATTTTTCTGCTAATTTTGACCTCAAAACAGCTTCGTCTCTGAATTATGAAAACTTTTACGCCAAAAGTGACTGAAAAAATCTATGTCGTAAGATGAATGTTTTTCAATTTGGTCTACTTTAAGCAAATTTCATAGTGAGTAAAATTTTTTTCCATATAACAACCCTACTTTGATCGTATTTTGAATCCCAAGAAAAAAGTTGCCTTTTTTAGAAAAATGGTCTGAATCTTTAATAAATGCCAAAAGTGTTTTATCGGTGCTTTTTGGATCCAAGTTTTACAATTTTAAACTTAAGCACTTTTAATGTTCTTAAACACATACATGGTTCTTTTATGTATTCTGTAAAAATTCTGTCGCGCGAATTTAAATGTTTTGCATTAAAAAACACTTTGAAACTTGATGAAAAAATTTGTTTTTGTCTATCTTTTAATGTGTTTAATGATCTATCCAATTTTTGAAAAAAAAATACTTCATTTAAATTCTTGGTACAACGCTGTATGGTATTGGTTGACTTTTTAGTATGAGCCAGTCATTTATATTCTGCTCTTCAGCTCTGGAGATGGACGTTGATAATGCACTTGACGGAAGTCGCAGGTATAAAATCTTGCGGCGCATCACCAGTCGGCAAAGTACCGACAAAAAAGTCCATAAGGCAGCCGAAGTGACAGTGCAGTCCAAATTCAACGAGCCTAACTTGATCCATATTCACAAAGCAGAAGGACTTAATGTTTAAATGTTTATTTTAGCCATAAAATCTGAGTTAATATTTTTATCATACCGAGAAATACTTACAGTGCTGCACAAATTTTCCAATCAATCAAAGTAAATTAAGTTGTTTTTGATTTTTAATTGAATTAGTTGAATCTGTCTAACTGACGCAACCCCATCAAAATAGGGCTAGTTTCTAGTTACAATATGTCCATTCTCTTATCGTTTCAAAATGTCTTTACAATTACAAGGGGTGGACGTTGCTGATACTATTTAGTAGGTATTATAGGAGAAATAGTTAAAGAAAGATTTGAGATAACGTGTAGAAAATATGGGATGTTTTTTTTAAGTTTTGTGCCCCCTTACCTCCCCCACCCCCTGCTAATTTTTTTCAGTATTTTTTGTTCACAGTGTCTGATTGCTACAAAAATTGCCATGCTCACCAATTACGATATGAGAATTATATTTGATATTTAAACTTGTAAGTCCCTCGTTAACCAATCATGATCCATTTTACTAATTCCTAAGTTAAATTCAAATCTCTCTGGTGCTGAAACTACAAGTAATTTCAGCACTTACAAATAGGTGGGTTGTTAGTTAGATGGATCATGATTGGTTAATATTAAATATTTTATAGGGATAAAATATCCAATTTATAACCAATAATAAATATAGTTTATATCTGGTTCCATTAACCTATAAAATTGAAGCTTATTTGATGTGGGGGTTGGGGCGAGAGGTTAAAGAGCCGAGATTTGGTTTAATACTATCAAAATATTGTTTGAGCTTTAAAAATTTCACAGAATGTTTAAGGAGTGTATATATTTTTTCTCAGATGTTTGTATTTTGTCAAATATAGATTCTGCTGGCTTAATCGTTTATAATACCAATTTTTTCTCAGAACAATTTTTTGTCCATCTTTTTTTCATGCAGTATAGATTGATTTAATTATTATTGCCAATATTTAAAAAAATTAATTTATGTTTTTGATTATGTTGCTGTTAAGTTTTCAAAGTTAGTTGAGTGGCAAGATTAAAAAAAGGTGGTACTCTACTCTGCATTTTAAACGCTTCACAAAGAGAACAAAATGTGCGTGCTGCTTTTAAAAAGTGAAAGACTTAAAAAAACGCACGCTTCAACGGCGTTTCCAAAATAAGAAAGAAGTACAATTTTATTTTGTACATTTCTGTTGTACATTAGTAATCAGTGAGCGTTTTTATGATTTTTTTTTTCAAAAAGACGTGATTTAAATAGTAGCAGTTTGATCAAAGTTCATTGAATAGACGCTGCTTGCTGGTCGTAAACAGAGAACCAAATGCGTTTTTGATTGATGATTTAAAAAACCAGAAAAAGATTAATTTTTTTTTCATTTGTTGCGACCTGGTCTTGAAATACTTCGTGTTTTTACCGATCTTCTGACAATTATAGCAAAAGTGTAATCACATGGCTTCGAGTAAGCGCACTGTTCGCGTGTTTTACAGTTCCCCATTTCGGGGTCTCGAACGAGAACGAGAGATGTTATCAGCTGTTTATTGGCCTCGGGTAAGTCAAGCTTGTGCCCAGCGGGGTGTTTCATTTGTACCCATTGACTTCCGGTGGGGCATAACAGAAGAAAGTAGTTCGGCCGCAAACACAGTCGCCATATGTCTCCGACAAGTCCAACAGTCGGATATCTTTGTCGGATTCTTCGGCGCACGATACGGGTGGCATGGATCCGAAGATCCCGCTCTTCAACAGGCAATCGACAAGGCTCTGCCAGAAAATCCTTGGCTGAGCGAGTTTCGCGACAGAAGTGTGACGGAAATGGAGTTCCTCGAAGGTCGGCTCAGAAATCCGGATTCCAAACGACCGGCCGCTTTCTTCTTCCGAGATTCAGAGTACGACAAAGAAATGTTCCAAAAGATGCAGACCTCGGATCCCAAAGAAGCAAAGGTTTATTCAGCTGAAATTGACGGAGAAAAGGCAGGAGCTAAATTGCAAGAACTGAAAGAATACACCGTGAAATACAAAGATAGTTTAACTGAAGAATCGGCTTCATGCTCAGTTGAATTCTATAAAACACCACAAGAGGGTGCTCAGTTGATGTTCGAAGCGACAATGAACATGCTCAACAAGTATTTTTTGAATAACGAGCTAGAGCATCAACAATCGAAATTTGACAAGTGGATTGAAGGTCAGTCGAATTACATGGCTACTCAACATACGCTCGGATCCCGATTTCTCGGAAGAAGCGAAGAGCAGAAAAAATTAGCCGAACTGATTCAGGGAGACAAAAATTGGAGAGTCGTCGTAAAAGGCGAAGAGGGCTGTGGAAAGTCGGCTCTTCTGATCAACCATGTTCTGGAGTATGAACAAAATTCGAAAGATAGCTTGCATATATATTATAACATGAGTGCGTATCCAGGCGCTAATTCTTCGTTATCATGTCTACAATTTTTGGCAGCTTATCTTGAGAAATATAACGGTGAAGAAAAAGCTGAGCAATCACTGAAGTTATCGAAATTCAGCGATCTGCTAGGAAAAATTTCATCCACATGTGAAGCTTTGAAGGAAAAACAAGGCAGGCAAGTTATTTTTTTCCTAGACGGAATCGACAAAATCGAATCTCAAAAACACTCAGACATCCCTCTCGGATTTTTACCGAAAAGGCTGCCTCTTAAACAAGTAGTCTGTACAAAGTTGGAAGATAAATTTCATTTTCCCAGAATCGAAGAACATGATTCGGTGTCAAGTCTAGTATTGGACAACTTCCAACTTCACGAAGCTATGGACGCGGTCGAGTCTGCGCTTGACATTCGAGGAAAAACGCTCAATCAAGTATGTTTACAGGTCATCAACAAATGTGAACAAATTCGAAACTTATTGTTTCTGAAGGTCTTACTTGAACAGTTGTTTTCGCATGCACAGTTTTCGTCGCTAGAAGCCGAGGTCACTGACCTTTGTACCTGCAGTTCAATTAGTGAGATATTTGAACTGTTTTTGTCAAAACTCGAGAAGGTGATGTGTTACGAAGCTTCTTACGAGCACGGTTCGGCCGGTGACGCACTGTGCTACTTGGCGCTTAGTCATCATGGTTTGATGGAAACGGAACTTCGAGAACTTGTGGGCTGGGAAGCGCGTCTCTGGGCTACTTTTTTCAGCACCGTCCGACCATCTCTCTTAGATAACAACGAAGTATACAGCATTCAGTATTCACAACTAACCAACGCCATATTCCAGAAACATCTCAACTCGGAGCAAAAACTGCTGAAATACAGGACCAGCTTAGCCAACTATTTCCAGAAAAAGTTAGACATGCATTTGAGCGTGAACAGGTGTTTCGACAAGAACTCGTCTGTCCCTGAAAGAATAATTCAAGAGCTACCTGCAGCCCTTTTCAAAGCAGGAATGCATCGAGAACTTCAAGAATGTCTGTTGAATGTCACTTTTTTCCGGACTTCTAGCATTGGAGATCGCACCGCCGATCGAGCGACCGAGGTCTACAAAAGCACTCCTTTAGAGGCTTACGAATATGCCAAGTACCTGAAAGAAACAACTGATGACTTCAGCGATGTTGTCAAAATATTCCGCCGAAATGTCGAAAATGTGTTTCTAGCCGAAATGTGCCCGCGTTACAGCTCGTTTTCTAAACAAGCTACAGATTTGGACAGAATTGGAGAAGGAACCGTGGTTTTGTCGAAATTTTTTGATTTTGTTGACGAAGCGATCGGTATGCCAGGAGTCACTTCCGAGTTAATGGAAACAGCCATCGTTATTCAGCGTGGATCCATGGCCCAAAATCGTCAGCGGAAGCAAGAAGACGAGGCTATCAAAGAAGAAATCTACTTAGCCGAACTATACAACAGACTTGCGATATCCTTGACTTATCAGAATAAGTTTGTGAAAGCTATCTGTTATTTGAACAAGTGTCTGGCAATTAAGAGAATACATACCAATAGGACAGATCTGATTTCAGATATTGATCGGCGAGTCGCAATAACATTGCATACTCTAGGAAATGCTTACAAGCAAACGAAAGATATAGAGCTTGCAATTCCTTGCTTTGAAGAAGCGCGCAAAATTCATTCCATCGATAATGCCGAGCAACAATGGTCTAGTTTAGATGGACTGGCTTCTTGTTATTTCTTCAAAAGGGACTTCGAAAAGGCCGAAGAACTGTACCAAAAAGTCGTGGACCATTACGACAGTTTATCATTGACGACGACTGATAACTTATATGCAGGCTTCATTTGTAATTTAGCCAATGCAATTAGACGAAGGGGTCGTTTAGGCGAGGCTAGAGTGCTGTACAAAAAAGCGTGGGATATTCAGATTAAAATTTTAGGCGACACCCATCATTCGATTGCAGTTACTCTCATGTGCCTCGGAAACCTAGAAATGGCTTCTAAGAATTTCCAAGATTGTGTGACATATTTTGAAAAAGCGTACTACGCGTACAAGAAAACTACAGGCTTGATCTGCCACGAAACTGCGCTGGCTGCTGAAAATATAGCAGTAGGGTACTCGAGAACGGAGGATTTTGAAAAGGGTACCCCTTGGTTTCATCATGGCGGGGAGTTATTGGAAAAACTGGGCCTGCTTCACATGACTTTGCCATGGATGAACAGAAAATACCTCAAGTATCATTATGAACAAGGGAATCAAGACGAGGTTGAAAAGGTAAATATTTTTACTCGAGCCAATAAAATCTTTTCCTTGCAAAGAAGTTGTATAATCTAGAGGATGCACAGCTTTGTAGCTGGGTCGATGTTTGCAATGTATCGACCGAGGCGGGTCAAACACATATAAGAGTTCGATCAAACATCCATAGTCGAGAAAGCTATATAGTCGAACTCAAAGTCGAAACATAAAGACGATTCGGTCGAAACATAACGCCGAGCACAAAGTCAAAACATAAGTTCGAGCACAAAGTCGAAACATAAGGTCGAACTGAAAGTCGAAACATAAAGTCAACTCGGTCGAAACAAAGTCAAACACAAACAAAATTGCACAAAGTCTGATTTTATTAACGGAATTTTTTTTCTTGGGAAACTGTAAAAAAACATTTGTATTTAGCAAAATAATCCAGAATAAACGTATTTTTAAAATACAGTTACCTAGATCATCTTTTTTGCTGGCCATATACGGTACCGCCACTGAAAGGCCT